TGAATATGGACCTGCTCATTCCCATGGGTTCTCTGCCCACAACGGGAGGAAACGAAACCCTCCTGAGGCTGGATGCTGTCACATCAAAAATCAAAACATTCATAAACAAGCTGGAGAACAAGCATGGCCTGCCCGCCCCATTGCCACAAGTGTGGAAAGCATGTGCCTCATGAAAACAGATGAGGCCCAGCCAGTGTGGCTCAGTGGTTGAGCATTGACCCATGAACCAAGAAGTCACTGGTTCAATTCCTGGTCAGGACATATGCTCAGGCTGTGGGCGCAATGCTCAGTAGGGGGCATGCAGGAGATAGTCGATTGATGTTCCTATCTCTCTATCCCTCTCCCTTCCCTTCTCTCTCTCTCTAAAAAAAAGGAAGAAAGAAAAAGGTAAGAAGCACAGCAAAGGAGGCACTCATGAATGACTTATTCCATGTTTTTCAAACTTCTAAGTTGTTTATCATAGGATGTTAAAAAAAAATAAAGAAAAAAGACAGAACCGGTGTTTTAAAAGCAAAATCAGTTCATTTCTGGTATCACTGGAGAAGACACTATGTGCAACAAGCCTCACAGGTCTCTGGTGACACCAGGAGTCAGAGCCTGAGGCTTCTACTGATGAGTCCATTGCATCAAGTTCTACAGCAGAAGACGCTCTGAAAGCCCCCAAAAGTGGGACCTGGGGCTGGGCGAGGAGGACCAGCGCCACACATGGCACCCCCGCAGAGCTGCCGACTCACTGGCCCTAACAGCAGTGAGCTCTGGGACCTTTATTCTTTGCCCGCTCAGGGGCTGGGTCTCCATCTGTTATAAGTTATCCAGGCTAGTGAAAGGGGTTTCTGGCTGCGGAGGTGAAACCAGCAAACACAAGCTGCTTCATCAGCGTAGCTCCTGCCCCGTCCAATGACATTGCTGAGAAAACAGCCTGACAGTCAGCCGCCTTATTAGTGGCCCGGTAGGCTGGGCAGGAACACACCGAGTCTGCCCAGCTGCTCCCAGCACGGCCGTCCCACCTCTACATCCTTTCAGATGTGACCTAGGTCCATGTCACTGTTCCCCAGAAGCAGAAAGACCCTCCCCACCGCCAATCCACCACAGAACTTAACCGCCATCCAAATGGTCAGTCAGAAAGCTGTCCACAGACCAGCCCTACAACAGGCTTCAGAAACGAGACAGTCCTGGAGCCCGGCTGCTGAGTCTGAGAGGTCACCCGAATTTAAAGCTTGAACCCAGGACAGGCAAGCAGAAGCCCCATCACCCTCAGGGGGGCTACAAACAGCAGAGCAGATGTTGTGCGCATGCACTGCTTTAAGAGCGTGCTATTTCAGGTACATCAGCATCTCCAGGCTCAGAGCCTGTGAGCTGACAGCATCACATCCTGGTCCATGACTGGGGCTAGTGGTGGGCAGTCTCTGAACCCAGAGCCCTGGCCAGACCCAGCGCGACCTAACCAGACAGCACTGACCAAGGCGCCACTCCCACAGCTCATGGCCAAGAACCCTTACTTGTCGGTTTCTTCTCTCCAGCAGCAGAGCAGGCTTGGCGGTAGGTGGCATACAGAGACGAGGGGATTTTATCTGCTCTGGATCAGAACAAAACGTTAAAATCAGGTCAACTATAACTCAAGCTAATTCTCAAGCTTACAATTCCAAAAACTTTAATAAAACAAAAGTATGTGACGGAGTAAATGTAATTACACAACACTGTACATTATGACCCGTTCAGAAACCAACTCTGCATCACGCCCTCACTGGTGCACGATGCAGTGTGTTCCCATCTGCCAGCAGTGGTTTCACTGGGCACAGAGATTATACATGTTTTTTACTTCTCTCATTCAAGTTTCAGAAACTTACAAATTTTAAAGGGAACTTATACTACTTTAATTAATACTAACAAAAACACCCAAATGTGATTAAAAATACAAAGAATTATAGAGTAGGTCCTTGGTAAGGACAGGGGCGTTTACAAAGCACGGCTGGCACTGTTTCAGGGCACAGTGACAAGCCCAAGGACAGGAGCCACGGAGTCACCCTCAGAGGAGCCACAAGGGGCAGCTCAGGTATGGGATGCGTGGACATTGGCATGGCCTGCAGCACAAGAAGCCTCCACATGAGCCATGAGGGCATCTGACCTTCCAGTGCTGCAAACCATGATGATACAAACAGGAGGAGGACACAGCTGAGCTCCAGAGTGAGGTCCCGTCAGGGGACCTGAAGTGAGGCAGGGAACACAGCTTGGAAAGTAGGAACCCAGGGGACCACCGACCAATTGGGAAGTGGAAAGCTTTTAGCTTAAGAAATAGAAACCAGCCTGGCTGGTGTGGCTCGGTGGTTGAGCACTGACCCAGGAACCAAAGGTCACTGGTTCAATTCCTGGTCAGGGCACATGCATAGGTTTTGGGCTCGATCCCCAGTAGGGGGCACGCAGGAGGTAGCCAATCAATGTTTCCATCTACCCCTCTCCCTTCCTCCCTAAAAAATCAATAGAAGTACTTTTTAAAAAGTGGGAATCAATGCAAACAAAAGAAAATGGAGAAATTCACAGAAAACCCTCAGGCACCACTATCATGACTACTCTGAGAGGGAAGGCAAACACTGCAGATGCTCAGTAAGAACAGATTGCCATAAAAAGAGCGTCTAGTGGCAGAAGTGAAACTCACTAAAGGACAGGCAGGTAAACTGAAGAAAGAAGAGGGGGAAAAAATCCCCAAACACCAGACATGTAAAATATGTCAGAAGAGAAAAAAACATCAGAAAACAATCCAAGAACTCTAATATCTGAAAATCAAAGGCTCCAAAAAACCACGCCGAGGGCAGCAAGCCTGCAATGAAATAAGCTAAGGTGGAACAATAGTCTGGATTTGCTCCAAAATAACCCAGAAGGGTGGGTAAGTAGGTGAATTGAGGGCTACACATGAAACAAGACTGGCCATTTGTTGATAACTATGAAAGCTGGGTTATACTTACTCTTATATGTAGTTTTCTGTCTTAAATTTCTCATAACAAAAGTTTTTAAAATAGACAAAATTTCTTAGCACTGAAGGACATGGATTTCCAGATTTAAAGGCCCACCATCTGCCCGGTCAAGAAATGAAATCAGACCCACAGCAATCCACATTACTATGAAGTTTCAGAACACAGAGGAAAAATAAGACTACAGGCCTCCAGAGAGAGAAACACAGGGCAGAGAACCAGAAACCATAAGTTTATAACATCTCAACCACAAGAGGCTCAAAGTCAATGGAGGAATATTTTCTAAGACTGAAAGGAAAACAAGCTCCAGCCTAGATTTCTATACTCAACCAAACTATCTGTTGAACTTGAAGGCTCAGTAAGGTGTCAAACTTTTTTTTTTTTTATCTCCCATCCATCCTTTCTTAATAAAAATATGCATCATCAGGGTATGTCCCACCAAAGCAAAGGAGCAAACCCAGAGGATGATCTGACACAGAAGAGGGTCAGCACAAGCTGGAGAACAAGCTGGGTGATGTCCAGGGGAGACACGGATGACAGCTGTGCTCAGGGGCACAGAAGCTAACAGTTCAGACTGGAGCAGGTCGGAGGGAGGCTCTGCAAGAGGTGTCTCCAGATGTAACTGTTGGACACTCGACTCTGAATGAGAGGACTCTAGGTAACTGACAGAATCTGCAGGTGAATCATGATATGTACAAGGAAAATGAGGAAAAGACAAATATGAACTCCAGAGAAAACAAAAGAAAAACAACCAGATTCCTAAGGTCAAATCTGAACAGTGTTTATACAGACAGCCTTCAAAAACGAAAGTAAAAACTGAGTTTTTAAAACTATTATACGAAGGACAGCTAATTGTATTGATGGAAGAAAGGTGAAGACTTCTTCCACAGTGGATTATCAATTGACAGTTCCTAAAACAGAAAAAGTGATAAGCAGCAAAATAAAAATGCTATTTAGATATGGAGAGAAATAAAATCAGCTAAGAGTTGAAAACAGTTGCATCCAGAGAGAAAGAAGTGGCAGGGAGGGGTGAGTGGTGGCTGCTTTTCTTAAAAATTTCAGAACTATAATTCTTTTTTCTAAACCATATTTAACTTTGACAAAACATTTTTTAAGACTAGAAATAAATGTCAAAAAATTAAGCTATATCACGCAAATACAAGAAAAGCTGGCATTAATTTTCCTCCTTTCGTGATTTTGTATCAATAACACTACCTAATTCCCAGACCAATCAATCTCCTACACATTCATTGAAAAATGATGCTAAGTGGCGATACTCAGAATCAAAGAAATTTTTTAAAAATCTTTTGAGCCAATATTTTATAAGTAAGACATACATGTGATAAAGCATCTCTACAGAAGAACCAGAATTCTCCGCATTGTCAAAAGCCCTACTAGAAACAGATTGTCCTTGCGCACCTCTTCAGGGACTCGATGAAAGCCACCCGGGAGTCAGGGGCACTCGGGATCTGTGAGAGGAAACACGAGACTCCAGTGAGATCCACACAGGAACGGCCTTGCTCTCCGCCACCTTGGTCCCGAGCTCGTGAAGATGTGTACTGACCACTCGAGGCGTGAGCAGGGCGGGCAGAAAGTGAGAGACATAGTAGGGCCTCCTGAATATGCTGCAACACAGAAGAGTGGGTTCAGACAACAGAAGCGTCAGGACGCCTCAGTGAACACAACAAAACCTCAGCTTCCAGAGGGGCACCCGGTGGGCCATCTCTCATGGCCATGACGTTCCATCACATTTTTAAAGTCCCAGTTCATGCAAAAGGTAGTCATGCTGGTGACCTGTGCCCTGGGGAACCTGGATAACACTGGCCCCCTGGTGTGACCATGGATTTGGGTCAATCCAAGGCCACAAGGGTCACTTCAAGTTCAATGTGGGCTTTCTCCTTGGAGCTCATCTGGAAATCCCAGAAGTGGGACCACATTTTCAGAAGCAATACATTAACAAAGCTACCCCACCCTGGTATCAACCAGAATTTAACAAGTTTGGGGAATCACATAAAATTCAACACAATTTTGGTATTTGACTCCCTATACTAGCTTCACAGCAATGAAGTATTAATAAAAACCATCATCCCTCTGAACAGTGTGGGTTCCACTCAGTCCCACCTGTTGGCTGTTTTGGGGGTGCCCTGTGCTTTTCTAAAGAAAGCGCATGTCACGTCAAGGACCCCGCACCCGCCAGCTGCAAGACCATCGCTGGGACATTTGCATTGACTCCTGGGTCTCCCCACAAACACGCCCTCCCTGCTGCTCATGGCTCTGAGCACAGATGAGGGACAGCCCCAGCATGACCTACCTGGCCTCCATGACGGCAACGGGAATTTTCCCTGTGTGTTCAAACACCTGGAGTGCCTTCTCCACATCCTGGGATGCCTGGCTGTGGGGCTGACTCCGTGGAGGGAGGAAGGAAAAGAACAGGAGGCTTAAGAGAAGGCTTGTCATTTGAGCTAAAAGGCGCGGAGTCGACGCGTGGCACACTGGGAATTCAGAACCACAAAAAGGCATAGTGGCTTTCTCTCTGCCCTCAGCAAGTCAGACCAATGAGCAGCCAGTAAGAACACCGGGCCCCTGTGGGAAGCTACTGCCACCCTCCCGGCTCCTTTCCACCATCCTCTCTGCTGCCCTATAGGACAGCCAAGGGCTCCAACTAAACCAGCGATCCTCAACCTGTGGGCCGCGACCCCTTTGGCAGTCGAACGACCCTTTCACAGGGGTCGCCTAAGACCGTCCTGCATATCAGGTATTTACATGACGATTCATCACAGTAGCAACATTATAGTTATGAAGTAGCAACGAAAATAATTGTATGGTTGGCGGTCACAACATGAGGAACTGTATTTAAAGGGCCAGAAGGTTGAGAACCAATGAACTAAACGTTTTCAGGTGAGAAGGAGCAGAGATTAAGTTTGATACTTTTCTTAAAGGACAGCAGTAAATCTTAAACAGAAAAAGGAATTAAGTGTTTCATAATATTCACTTTAACAGCATCTGTACAGTTCTCCGGCAACTCACAACTTTTAAGTAAAATGGTCTTAAAAAAGATAAGCATACCACATGGACACCTGACATGTGTTTTACATACATGCAGTTAACCTCTTTTTCTGTAATTCCTAGAAAAACATGACACCTCCCTGCAGTTTCACAGACACTTTGTCCACTCAGCCCACGTGGACGGCGATCTCCTAAAAGACAACCTTTCCACACACAGTGATGCTCCTGCTTCTGTTCTCAACAGAGAGACGTGACAGAACAAGCACTTGGGGCAACCGTCACGGTCCACCTGCACCAGGCACCCCAGGTCCCAGACAGAAAAGGCTCAAAGGCTCACAGGAAACAAAAGTGTGCTTGGTGAACAGGGGGGAGGACGGGAGGGACGGGAGGGACGGGGGGCGGGGGGCACACCCCGAGGCAGCAGCACCAAGGTGAGTTACCTCTGTGACGTCCCTGGCTGTAGACAAATCCTCATAGAGCCCCATGTTCTCCACAGAAACCTGCAAAGAAGACAGGAGCGAGGACGCTGAGGACCAGATAGGTGTGGGCAGCTGGAGGTCGAGGGGAGGAGGGAAGAGGGGAGGCCAGGACTTGCCTTCAGGTCGGCCAGCCGTGTCTTGGCCAGCGAGATGTAGTCTGTGAGGAGGGAGCAGTACTTGCTGGGGACCAGGGGCGGGTGGAGAATATGCACCTGCAGCAGACGACACAACAGGACATCAGCTTGCAGCTGTTCCTGACGTTCAAGACGGGACAGTCAGAGAATTACCATGAGGGCAGAAGCTGGGGGAGACACGGACAGAATGGAATGGAATCCTGGTGAGGGTTTCCACGTGCTCCCGAAGGTGCGCCTTCAGAAGTGGGTGGCCAGAGTCCTGCGGGAGGACCCGGGCTCTCTGCACACCTCTCCTCAGATGGAAGGCACCCCTGCCGCCGCCGGTGTTCAAGCTGCTAATCACCAGGCACTTTCCACCTCAAAAGCCAGGGGTCAAGCATTCAGACGGGCAGGGGCGGCCCCAGAGGCATGAGCAGTGCTCTGGGCTTCACCCTGTGTGGGTACACGGCTTCATCTATTCCTCCACCTATTCTCTCACCTGGATTCTATGAAATGTGAGAGTTTCTAGGTGCCCAACCCCCAAAACAAATGCTGGGTATCGTTATCTAATTAAATAAAAGGCTTACAGAAATAAACACTTTAATCATGAGATTGATACAGACCGGTTATAAAAACTATGGTTTCCCACGCCCAGAGGTAATGACCCTGGCAGTTTGGGGTGTGTCCTTCCAGGTTCTTCTCCTCCAACATAGAAACGTATCGCTCTTGAATATAAAACATGGGTGGTGCAACACTCCAGTTCTCCCCGTCTCAGCTCTCTGAGCTGCTCCAAGGAAGACCTGGGACAGCTCCCTGCATGGCCACCGGCCAGCGGGTGGTTTCTGGCCTTTCACCATCACCAACGCTTTCACTGAGGGCATGCCTACACCTAGCTGTTGGGTTTGCAGTGTTTAACCGGCACCCGCTCAGGAAGACCACCCTTGGCACCCCTGGACTGAGGAGGATGTGAGCAAAGGCGCCGGCAGCCGGCTTCTCACCTGCAGGTACCGGGGGGCCTCAAAGGGCACAAGGTCAGACAGGAACTTGAAGAGGAAGACCAGTGCCTTCTTGCTGCCACAGTGATGGCCCCTCGAGCTCCCAAAGGCGGCCTGGAGGGAGATGGATGTGAGGCACGGACAGCACGTGCCCTACTGTCCACGCAGGGACCTGTCAATGCAGCACCTCAAAAACAGAAAACTGCTACTGGAAAGAGAAACCACAGAGCCAGCTGGTTCATACAATCCTGGATGTCATGGCGAAGCTTTGGCTAATGTGGGCTGAAACATAACCATGGTGTCTTGTGAACATCAGAGGCACAATTTACTGCCTAACAAGGACTCTCCTCGGCAAGTTGGGGGACATGCCAACTACCTACTGGGAGCACCAGCAGGTCAGCAAAGGTAACACACCTGGAACCAGTCTGCATAAGAAGGGAACACGGAGGGGCCCTCCAGCGCAGCCTGACGCACAACCAGGAACACAGTGACCATGCAGTCCAGGTCGAAGCTCTCAAACGCACGGGCCAGCAAGCAGGTTACCCAATCTAGGCAAGAATAACCATAGAAATAAAATGCGTATGTTCTGCTGAGGAGTAAGTGCTCCCCTACGACTTGCAGACCCAATGCCAATTTCAAGGGACTGGAAACTGATAAGAGGAACCCAAACAGCAACTACGTAAGGCTGATGAGCAGCAGGCAGAGCCCGAGGGCACAGTGCACAGGATGCAGGGCACCTTCAGGGCATCCTCGCTGAGATGGACACCATGATCCTCCTATTTTCCAACAATACTGCGCATATTGCACACAGACACACGCACGCACGCACACACACACACACACACACACCCAGAACGCCCCCCGAAGCGCACCGGTCACCAGCCGCTGGGCTCCAGGGAAGCAGATCACCATTGTGGACACACAGGGCAGCACGTGCTGCCAGTTCACCTCATGCGTCTCCAGAACTTCTTGTAAGTGGCCCAGCAGCTCCTCAGGACTCAGGAGCACGAAGAGCTGAAACAAAGTGCCTGGGCTGTCAGAGCAGAACACCGAGGGCAGGAGCCGGACCCCACCCACTTCCTGTAGGCACAACTCAGGGCTGAAAGGGGACACTTCTGTGTCTCTCCTCGCTGCAGTGGTCAGTACTGGCTGGAACTCCAGAGCTCCGTGGGAGATCTCTATGGCCCTCGTCCTGCCCCGTGACTCACCCTGCGGTACAGGCCGGTGAGCAGAGGGTGGGTCCTGGCGAAGCTCCAGTCCCTTTGCATTTGAACGGCATCAGAGACTTCACCAGGGAAGAACAGACAAAAACATCACGTCAGCAATCATCAGAGCTGGGTTTTAAAGCCACAATGTCAAAGAACTACCTTGTTTTAATTTGCATTTTTTCAATTAGTGAAGATCACCATTTCCCTGCTTGTTAACCATTTCTAGGTTATAAAATGTCTCTCTTTGGCCCAGATACCTGCTGGTGATCCTATATCATATTTGCTGTTCCCTAATCCATCATTTGCACTTGAGTCTGGATGCTTTTAAACTTTAACTGCCAACACGCGATCAATGAGGATGCTGTGGAAATGAGAAGGGCTGACACAGGTCCTCGGGGGCAGGACAGCAACCTCTGTCAGGAGCAACCGTATCCCACCTGTGGACCCTCCTGGGGATGTACCGAAGCACAGAGCCGGCTCAGTGGGCAGGGTGTGCATTCAGCCCCATCACTAAGAGTGAACGCTTGTCATTGATAGTGACAGCAGCCAAAGGACACTCATTAGTAAAAGATGACATGAATATTAAACACTTAAGAAAACCATGTAACTACATAAAAAAATACTTAAGTTAATGACATATGGGGGGGGGACCTTGAAATTTAAAAGTAAGACTGCATCTTCAAAAATCTATTTAGAAAAAAACGAGATTTTTGTGTTAAAGCTACTTCTACTTTGGTGACGAGAAGGATGAGTTTTTCTTTCCATGCTTCTTTAATTGTAAATTTTCTTAATGAGAATGTTATTTTCAAAGGAAAGGATGGTTAATGATAAAACGTCCTTCATGATCTCAAGGGTCTGAAGCATTAACAGGGGCCCAGGCTCCTGTCCAGGGAGGCAACGGTCCCCAAACAAACGGGTCTGAAACCCACCTTTCAGCACCGGCTGGTGAGTGAGTATCTGAGTCAGCGTGTGCCTGGAGAACCTCTTTGGAGAATCTGTTGAAATTATACTGCGGAATGTGTGTCCACTGAATCCACTGAACCTGCAAACGGAGCAGAAAGAGGATCTCAAGAAGAGAGATGCCCGCGTTTTCCAGCAGTGACAACCTCCCACAATAATATGCCTCTCGTCAAGGATCTCCTCCACCCTCTCCAGAAGAGAAGAGGGGGCACGAGAAGCGCCTGGTGCAGAGCCCCAGCTCCTACTTCATGGATGCAACATGCCCAGCAGGCTATGCAGTCACCACCCTCTTCAGCCAGGCACAACGGTGGTTTTGTGTGTTGGTGGCTCCACTGTCCTCTTTCAGCCAACAGGAGGAACAGCAAGGCTTACAGAAGGATGCTCCTTCAGAAGGAAGCAGCACTAAAAGCACCCCAAATCAAGATGAGTGGGAAACCATCCCAGTAAACACATTTTGAATAAAAAAAATAAAAAGACACCATACTGTCAAGCAAAGCGGACCTGGACGCTGAGGCCTCCACTCCCAGTTCAGGGGCTCACAGGCTTGCCCTGTGACCTTGAAATTCTCTCTGCCAGGCCACCATGCCACTGGCTTAAAATGGAACCCAGGGAAGTATAGTTTCCACAAGGGGGAAGTATAGTTTCAAGGAGAGAGAAAACCACAAGCAGGCAACAAAGATCCCTGACAAGCCAAGGAGAGGGAGGAGGTCAGACAGAAATCAGCAAGGGCTGGGCCTACAGAACCGGGGGGTGGAGTATGGGGTGTGTGTGATGAAGGCCCAGAAATCAGGGGCCTGGGCCCGATGGAGGACTAGGGCCCAGCAAAGTGCCAGGGTTACAAAGCCTCGGAATCCCTGTCTGAGGTGGGAACCAGACAGCAGGGCTGTGCCAAGCCTTGCGCAGAGACTGGCACATGTAGGTGGCTCAAACTCAGCAACTGTCCCTAAAACCAACAGTGACCTGTGGAAGGAGGCGGGAAAGAAAGAGCCATCCCTCGGAGGGAGCAAGACACCACTGACAGGGCAGGAGGGATGAAGGGTGACAGGGTTGAAGTGGGGCGTGCGACAGGGTCAGCCCCACTGATTCCTCATGAGAGAAAACCAAGTGTTCCAGCAGTTACATGTCCCAGCAGTTCAGCAGTTACATGTGCTGCCCAGGGTCATGAATACGAGGGCACCGGGCAGAGGGAGGACACAGGGGCCCCAGTGTGCCACCCAGACTGTTAGGGAATATTTGATATCTGATTTTACTGTAAGTATTGGCAACTAATTTAAAAATTTAAAAAGAAGCAAACACACTGACAATCATTATTTGATTCCTGGGACATGAGTTTGAGTAATCTAGGCATACTACAAAATTGCATAAAATTTAGAGAACAAACAGTGTTAAATAAAGCACTGAATTATACAGCACAGTTGAGGACCATGGAATATTTGTGGAGCACCAGAGCAAAAGCGTTAGCGTAGAGCGATGCTGAGAAATTCTCTGGGTTTCCCAGGAGAGAGCCAACTTCCAAGGTCAGCCTCGCCCATGTGACTCTGAAGTGAATGCAGACACCCCAGTCCAAGCCAGCATGTCTACGTGCAGCTCCCGCCACAGAGAGAGAAAGCCAGCACGACAAAGCCAGGCTTACTGTAGGCTCGGCGGGAGCTGGAGCCAGCTGTGTGCTCCAGAAAGCCCTGCGGGGGGCCGAGAGGGCCACACGAGGGGAAGAGCACGACAGTGAGCCAGTCACTCTGGTGGGAAGAGGGGCGCACCACAACCAGCAGGAGTCTGGGCCTGGAGGAATGAGGGGCCCAGAGAGGGAGTGCCTAGCCTCCTGCCTCATCTCAGAGAAAGCAGGCACACCAGGGGGTTTCGGTGCTTCCCAGCTGTCATCTCTCCTGACACTGACACGATGGCAGGAGTGAGCCCAGGAGTCACCTGTTGGTAGTTAGAGTGTCTAAAATACCTGGGGCCTCTAACCTAGTGAGCACCGCCCCCAAGATCCCCCAGGAACGTACCAGCACCTCACGGCCTTGTGCGCTGAGGACTCCTCCTGCACGCCAGCAGCCAAGGTTTCAAGTGCAACTGATGCCAGAACATGGGAGCAGAAAACAGACAGCACATCATCACAGTCCATTAAAAACAACCCCTGACTAAGTGTTTCTAGACAAGGCAGGTATTTCATCCTTGGTAAGAGCCCCTCACTGCCAAGTTACAGACCTCCCAAGCCACCTAAACCCCCAGAGGGCACAAGGCCTTTAGGGTTCCAAATGTCTCAGTGAAGCCTTTAAAACCAATCCGAATATGTATAGTAGACAATGAAACGTCCCCAAATTCACCGTTAAACATAATCAGTCAACAGCTCTGGAGGAACTGAGCCAGGAGAAAAAGTGAAGGCTAAGTTTATACCCAAGTACAACCAAAAAGGGATTTTCTGGTACAAGGACTCCACAGGGAGATATATACAAATGGGTAAAATACTTGAAACCGAAAGGCAGAAACTGAGAAAATTCCTGGTAAACAAACTGAGTCCTTTACAGTCTGGGGCACAGAGCAGTGCACTCACAGAGCAGCATTCTCTGCAACACGGCCACAGCAATCTGTGAACACAAACGGAGTTACCGTGACTCAGTCATATCCGTGAACCACACAAGAAAGGTAGTTGTCACTCTGGAGTCAAATACAAAACTGACTTTTCAAAGAGGAACACACTGAGGAGACTAGAAGAGTGAAAGGCAGACTTTGTGGAAGTATCTGTTGTGATGCCCCAGAATGCCCAGGCCCTGGTCACATCCCGCTGGGCCCAGCCCCGATTCCCATGTCTGTACCACCCAGGTGCTGCCCGTGCAGAGTCCTGCTGATACTGTCTGGACTGGAGCCGGGAGAGTGGCCCCTCCCCTCCTCTGAAAGCACAGGCTGCATTCCGGGCCATGAAGACCTTTGCCCCCGAGCACTTTGGGAACCAGAAGACACGGGGAAATGACAACCTGTTCCCACTTCCCACACCTACTGGATGAGGGAGGGACAGTATGGGGGCAACTCATGAGCACAGCAAGGTCAGCCACTGGTCCAGGGATGTCCTAGGAAGGACCCCATGGTGGGTGGAGGTGTAGGGGGGCTTATTCAACAATCCTATAATGCTTCACCTTTGTTTTTCCTCCTACCTGGGGCATCTGTTCAGCCTCCACATTTCTTCTCGGACCTGAGATTTTCTGAAATCCCCTCAAAACAAACATTTGCACAAAATCTGAAAACCACAAAAGCAAAGTATTTACATACACTGCAGTCCCCGAGCAGCCAGGAGGCCAGGAGTTACACAAGATCACCCTCCTCAGGGGCTAGGAGGGCAGACCCTCAGGTAGCTGTGAGGACACCCTTGCTCCTGGCCCTGGGAGCCCTGCAGGTCACTACCCACCAGACGCCACACATAGTATTCACCAGACCCAAGCTAAAGCTCTGACCGAACTAGACTCTCTCCTTGCCATTTGGTTCAAAAGGAAAACACAGCTGACCCTTGAGCAACACAGGTTTGCACTGTGCTGGTTCACTTATCCACCATTTTTTTCAATAAACATACAGTCAGCATCCAGTCAACCTACCTCAGATCAAATCCGAGCCTGGGAACCCACATATGCACAGGGCCAACCTAAGTTTTCAGATTTCCGATGGGTGAGGCATTGGTGCACCTAACCTCCATGTTATTCAAGGGTCAACTGTACTTATAATGAATCGAGTTTATATGTAAGGGATTTTCTCCTAAAGTAGCTTCCAAGGGTTTCTTGGGGACTTTCAGCCCATCCCTTATACTAACACAAGAACCTTTACAGAAGACCCCAGAAGCATTACATTCTGGAGAATGAGGCAGGAAGGGGACTCAAATCTTCTGGAAAGGTTAGAGTCGAGAGGGCTAAAATGAAAGATTTTCTACCTAATCTTCAATTTAAACTTAAACTGTCTGGGGCCAGATTAAGGATTCAGGAATCGGAGAGAGTTGTAGGAAATCATGTGTGTAGATTTCACTCCTCGGAGATGACTGGCTCCCAGAGCAGCAGGAGAGGGCCCACTCCAAGGGAGAGATGCCCAGGAACACATGGGTGACCAGCTCATGCCCGTTTGGACCTAGATAAGGATTCCCACCCCAAGTTCCCACTTGGCCTTTCCTGCGCATTTTAAAATAAATTATAATTAAGCCCACAAAAAGTTAGTGGCCCCATCCCTAATCACCTTGTAATCGGTGCTCCTACCCTGTTGTTTCCTACAGCACGTTCTCTGTGGGGGTGAAACCGAGCTTCAATGAGCATAGCCCTCCTCCAACTGGGATGCTGAGGGAGATTCCCTGCCAACCCCACGTGAGGGCTTGTCCCTCCTCATTCAGCAGGTCATAAGCCACAAATATTTAACTTAACACACTAGCTACAGGCCCCATAACATCATGGGTCAACAGGCTGACTTACCAAAATCGCCACACAATTCAAGTTAAATGCAACAGGTACGGCCCAAGATGACTTCATGCTAGATTTCCACACCGTGGGTGTAAGGGCCTTTTCTGCATCCCACAGATCTTCATAGCAGAAAACTGACCTAAATGAATTCCCCCACCCCAAGAACCTGCCTGTGATGAACTTACCAGAGAGTATAGCCCTGGTGGTGTCGACGTGCTGACAGGTGTCTTCTGTCTGCTCACACAGACAGCGCAGGTTCCTGAAGAGCCACGCCACCACCGCCTGCATGTCCGAGTGGCTGGGGACAAGCAGACAGCATACGTGAACCCCTGCTCCACAGCCACCAGGCCATTTTCTTCTCACTCATTTTACTCAGCAGCTTAGGCCACTGAGAATAAGCTAGCAACCACCTGAGCCTTCAGCACCAAGAAGTTAGGGACACCTGCTACTAACATCAAAAATAATAATCTTCAAGTAGTTTACTAATACTTATTTGGAATAGCTTACTATTGTTGGGAAAGGGGGGAAGGAAGCTCAGTAATAAGATAATCATACAAATAAAACAACAGCAGCAATTACAGGCTGTAGGGTGTCATCAAGGGATCGGCCATGCAGCACAATCTGTGTGAGAATCCATGTGGTCTGCAAAGCCCTGATGGGAGAGCCCTCACCTGCCCCGCTATCACATGTCATCTCCCTGATAACAATGTTTATGTGCTTGGCCACCTGTACATCTTCTATGGGGAACTGGCAACTGAAATCCTTTGTCTACTTTTAATTAGAGCAGTCAGGCCTTCCCCACTTCAAGATTACAAAAACATCCTTCCAGGATTCCCTCCAGTCCTTTTATAATTTCTTTTTTTTCCTTTTTTGATTCATCAACAATGTTTTTGGTATAAATTTCCAACTTAAATCACTGTTTCTCTCTCTCTGTCTCTCCCTTCTCCATTCGACTCTCTGTAAAAATCAATGGAAAAATATCCTTAGGTGAGAATTAACAACAACAAAAAGATCCCACTTAAAAATCCAGATGTGGGCCTAGCTGGTTTGGCTTAGTGGAAAGAACGTCAGCCTGCAGACAAAAGGGTCCCGGGTTTGATTATGGTCAAGGGCACATGCCCAGGTTGTGGGCTCGATCCCCAGTAGGGGGCGTGCAGGAGGCAGCCGATCTATGATTCTCTCATCATTGATGTTTCTCTCTCTCAACTCTCCCTTCCTCTCTGAAATCAATAAAAATATATTTTAAAAAAATACAGATGTGGGCCACATGTACCACCACCAGTGTTTTAATATGGCATTTTCACCTCTGCCTGGCAATCCCCCAAACAAGGTGCCGTTTTTCTTGAGCAGAGAACAAACATGCAGACCCCTGGCCTCCTGCTCGGCTAGGGGAGGAGCAACTGCCTGGCTGCCTACAGCAGGAAGCTGCCATCTGAGCTTCCCAGTGCTTCTGGCACCTGCTTTCAATCACAGTCTCTCTTCCTCTCCCCTAGATCCAGAGGCACTGGGTCCACCAATCCTGAGTCTTCTGGGGAGAAAGAAGACACGGGACTGGTCCCTACTTCTTTCCACACTGCTGGTTTGCACAAGCCATCTCAAGTGTGCTCAGTTGTCTCTCACAGGTCCATCTGCCTCCTGCTTCCAAACTCTGTTCTGCTACTAATATGCCCTCTCCCACACCCTCTCCTCTTCATGGGTTGCACCTTTTTACAAAATCCCCTTTCTGAGGGTTGGTGGGATTTCAGGAGGAAATAAAAGCACTTGCACGCATATATATTAACCATATTTACCTGAACATCTTTTTAGTTTTTAAAATATTTTATCACATAATACATCTTCTGCAAAGAAAGCATTACCAAGCCTGTGCACGATGAGACTTCAATTAAAAAATAAAGTTCTCTTTAAATAATAAATTACAGTTGACCCCTGAACAAAACAGGGGTCAAAAATCTGTAGATAACTTGATCCCCCAAGTTTAATATAGTCGTCACCCCTCAGTATGTGCTGGGGACTGGCTCCAGGACCCCCATCAACACCAAAATCTGCGGATGCTCAAGTCCAGTCTGTAAAATGGCAGCACAGCACATACAGCTGACCCTCTGCATCAGCAGACTCCCAACTACAGACCAAAACGACTGGTTTTAAACCTCTCAGTTGGTTGAATCTGAAGATGCAAAACCCATGAATACAGAGGGCCAACTGTTTGTACGGGGGGAAAAAATCGTGTGTCAGTAGGCCTGCGCAGTTCAAACCCATGTTCTTCAAAGGTCAGCTGTAATAGTTTCTCCAGGCAATTTTTGGCTCTGATACATGAGACATACAAGACTAGGTTACAATGTAAATCACATAGTCTTAAGGCAACATTATATTATCACTACCTTTCCAGTAGCTCCTGGAGGCTCACAATGTTTTGTATTTGAAGCTGCCACACAGCTTCCAACAACAAAGAATCCTGAAAAAAATAACAGCATTGTGAGTCCTTCAGGATGCATTTTCATACAGAATGTTCAGTCTGTGTTCTTAACCACCACGCTCTATTTAAAATCCAAGTGGAAGCCCGTTGGCCGGTTAGCTCAGTTGGTTAGAGTGTGGTGCTAATAAAATCCAAGTGGAATAACAGCATAGACTGAACTATTTTATCCACTAGTTTTAACACTCACCAAGCCTCAGACACGCCCACTACCATCTTTCCCCTCCTCCTGCCCGTCCTCACCACTCGTCCTGCAGGCTCAGATAGGACCCTGCCCATCTCTAGCTTGACCCACTTCTAGACCTTTCTCCACTGTGGCCTACCCAAGATTCCAAAATATAAATGAACATGCCAATATCTTTTTAAAGCCTTCGTGGCTCCTCACAGCCTTGAGGATAAAGTTCACTCTTGGACATAGCACAGCCCTTTGTGATCTGGCCACCTCTCTCTTCTGTCCTCTCCCAGGGAGGCCCTCCCTCCTGCAGCACAGACACACACCATCCCTCAGTCACCCTGCTCCAATCACATCCGTCTCCCAGAAACCACACTCCTCCTACACTTCCTGCACCTCCCAGCACTCCTAGGAAGCCTTCGCCAACCATCCAGATACAGTCGCCCCACTTCTCTGTACCCCGTGAACAGTTGCACAGTGTTTGCGGGTACCTCCTTCCCATCCAGCGGCATTTACTGAACACTTTTCCCTACTCTCTGCAACTGAGATGCTTGGTGAGATTCCAGAAGCAGCGCAGGGGTCCTGTGGGCTTCCCCCCAAACAACAGGACACTGCTTGGAAAAACCCTGGAGTCAGGATTACAGTCTCAGGTTTACCTGTACTTTCCACAATTCTTGACAGAAGGCGAGACGGGAGAACATACTGTGTGCTAATAAATGCCCAGTGATCTCTAACAAGGAAGACAGTTTCTTCTGAAAAGAGAGGTTAAGCCTTTTTTAAAAAATGGGCAAATACCTGAAGCAATATTAAAGAAACATCCCATTTCCCCCAATAGCTTAAATAAGAGCAGCAGTTACCACATCGTGCTGTGCCTTACTCTTTGCTCTGGGTCTAGCAGCACCCCACGTGAGGGCTCCGCGTGCGCCTCACAGATCTGCACAAAGCTGGAGGCCACCGTGTGGCTGGACAGCACTGCCACTGGAACCCCCAGCCGAGAGGCTTGATCCCGCAAAGCAGAGCCTTAAGAAAACACAAAACGTGGAAGAAAACACTACAGCATCTAAAACAGGAGACTTAAGAGATTAAAACACCTTCTGTTAAGCTGCAGCAGCCCAGAAATTAGCCTTTTGAAGGTCAGAACAGATCTCCAGGGAAAACACAAGGTATTGAGAGAAGATCATTTCATGACTGAAGCAGCTCACGGACAAGCAGAGCAGCCCCTGGAGCCTGCAGCTGCATGTACATGCTCGTGTTTTGGCAGAGACATTCTGTTAAGAATTTTATCAACGTTTCCAACTGAGAACCATAGCAGGCTCTTTTCTAATGACTTCAACGTCAAAGACAGATGGGCTTTCGCCAACGGTACAGTGACGTCCGGTGGCAAGCGGGTCTGCTTTCCCAAGGCTGCGCCTCACACGTGTGGGCAGCCAGGTTCAGTGTGCTCCTCGGGGCTGCTGCCAAGGGGAACCTGGGTGCGGGGTGTCCAGGCGGCCACCAGCCTCTGGTCTGCACTCAATAAAGTGAGAAAGGCCAGGCGGTCTGAAAACACATGGTGCCTACAAGTACGTTGTTTTCTAAGTGACTGGACTTTCATAGCTAATTTATTTGTTTCAGTGTAGTAGTCACTATCTTTAGCAGGAAAAAAACTAAAAAAGTTCGTGAGTTAAGGGTCTTTATATTTCTGTGGTCAAAGCTAAGGGCTTCTTGTATAAGTTCTCATTCCTTGGTCTAAAGTCCGTACAAGAAAACTGCGGCCGAGTTCCGCTCCCTGGAACGATGATGCGTAACTTGTGAAATTCAAACACGATAGGACAGCGAAAAGCAATAAGCGTCACTGAGCTTGCTGTTTCAGGTCATTTCAATGGAAATCTAAAACAAATCCATCAGTTAACAACCCTGGCTTCCCACCGGCAAATCCCCAAGGCTCCCTGAACGGGCACCACTGTCCCCCTTTCCCAGGGGCTGGCGCTTCCTCCTGCCTCTGCCCGTGGTGAGGCACACCCTGCTTTTTTGTTCGTTTGTTTGGGGTTTTCTTAAATATACTTTTGTTGCTTTCAGAGAGGAAGGGAGAGGGAGAGATACGAGCATCCATGATGAGAGGGAATCACGGACCGGCTGCCTCCTGCACGCCGGACAGGGCCCAGGCCCCGTTTTTAAGGAACAGTCGCAGAACACGCCCCACGCAGGGCACAAACTCCCGAGCC